TTCAACACAAAGCTGCTGTGTTGTTTCTGCACAGATGTGCTGTGATCCTGTCACTGCCATTAATGTGCGCTAGTGTGGGTCACGTGACAGTGCGGTGCGGCTGCTGTGTTCTCGTCTTTGAGCAGCTAACATTAACAGGGTCCTGTACAGCCGCAATCAAAACCGACGATTAAACCCCTCAGGCCTGGAGACAGGTAAGGATGGGGTTATCCCATATAGTGTAACTGCCAGGAAAAACGTTTATTTTATTCATTTGTCACTCTTACATTAGTAGTTAGCAGGGAGCTAGCGGTTTATTATGATAGCTGGTTAGTAAAGGTTGCTAAAAAACGCTTCACTTTATTAAAGCATGTTCGTGTTTTTAATGTTAGATGTCATCAGGCACAGTCGCTGGACGTTTTTAACTTATTTCGAGGGAAACGGTAAATAATTACGTTTCAGAAAACCTGATTAATAACGTTACATGCCTTACCAAAACAGCTAGCGTGCTATTGGACATCCAATTCTTTCTTTTTTTTTTTTTTCTATTTTTGACATCAATTCATTGAGCTTCCTCACACAGTAATGCATCCTGTGTTTATCTCATTGTGTTCTTCATTATCGTCTCAGATGTGTTAAAATATTCAGATTCTCAAGTGAGGTCTGTATATATTTATGTGCCTTAAATGTAGGGCTAATAAGTGTCTTTTTTGCAGGTCTAACGTTACCCAACTATAATACCCGAGCTTCTTCTGTGGGTCAGATCGGTCTACCTATCCGTATCAAATGGATAATGGGGACTGGGGGAATAGCAGGGTATGTATGCGCAGAAATATTTAACACAAGTTATTGTTACAAAGTGTTTATTAGCCACAGTTGTGTGCTATGCAGAACTGCTATTGGAGTAGAATTAAAAGTAATTGAAATTCAGATATTTGTATAACTGTAATATGTGTTTTAACTTGAACAAAATAATTAAGAATTTTTGGCTTGATAAAACCTAGATGAACATAAAATTAAGTATGTTTCAAATGGCACCTATAAAAACATGTAAATGTATTTATATAATTCATTATATATATAATTCATGAATTTTAATTTTATGGACCAAGGTTGAAGAACACTTAATATCCCAGAATACCATTAACTACCTTGAATTTTATGAATTGTAATAAAAATGGGTTGCTGTTTTTCTTAACTGATCAGACTTTATTAAAGCCCATTTACACCAAGAGCGATAACTATAAAGATTATGTTGTCTGCCACTTTAAATGCTCCAGTTCTTTAATGTTGGTGGATTCTTATCTGGATTCTCACTGTCAATTATTTTATTGTATATCAGCTAGAAAAAAAAGTTATGAAAGTGATTCCAGTGATATTGTTCCTCTGTGTTGTTAACATTATACATGTGGTGTGGATTTTCCTATTCTCATACAATAAGAACCATTATTAAAACTTCATATATAGCTATTCTTGGTGTGAACAGGCTTACAGTCGCTGATTCAGAAGCGCCAGATTGTCATAGCAAAGTCGGAATCAACCCTTTTTTTTTTTTTTAGAAATAGCCTTTGTGCACAGCCAGCCTTGTACTTGGTTACAGTTTTCTTTTGCTAGATGATGAAAAATCCCAAAAGTAGATTTCCAGTGAAAACTTCTAGCTGTAATTCTTTCAAACTACATCCACCATCATCGGCACAGACCTTTAGCCTGTTCTGACCTGGCTTGTTATATTTTCTAACTGATCAGATTAAAGGTTTTCCCATAACTGACATTCAAATGGGTTAACATTTTCATAGATAGATGGGCTATTGGGCTATGACCGTAAGGTCTGTGTAACCTTCAAATTATAAGCTTTAAGGAGTATTTTGAACTTTAAAGCAAAATGTCAAGCCGACATGCTTAACAAACCTTCCTTTTCTATTCCAGTTCAGCATCCTGTAGGTTGTCAGCAATTTGATTAAGATTCCAACACATACATTTTTCCCAAATTGTTTCAATGAATGGTTTCAGCCCTCCAAAACAGTGATGTTTTGGACAGCGCTTCTCCGGTGACAGATTAGCCTCATTAAAATTCCCAATGAACCTATTGTTTGATTATATGTGATGAACTGCATTACTGATTCTCTGCTTTTGTCCATCGCTTGTAGTTGACTCACCCAGTCACCTTAAATGTTGGAGGTCATCTCTACACGACCTCCATCTCCACTCTTCAACGTTACCCAGACTCCATGCTGGGCGCCATGTTCCGCGGCGACTTCCCCACCACGCGGGATGCTCAGGGAAACTACTTCATCGATCGGGACGGGACGCTTTTCCGCTACATATTAAACTTCCTGCGCACATCCGAGCTCACTCTTCCTGTTGACTTCATGGAGATGGACCTTCTGCGTAAAGAAGCTGACTTCTATCAGATCGAGCCTTTAATCCAATGCCTCAGTGACCCAAAGCCTCTGTACCCGCTGGACACCTTTGAGCAGGTGGTGGAGTTGTCCAGTACCCGCAAGCTGTCTAAGTACTCGAATCCAGTAGCGGTTATTATCACGCAACTAACCATAACCACCAAGGTCCACTCGCTGCTGGAGGGAATATCCAACAACTTCACTAAGTGGAACAAACACATGATGGACACCAGAGACTGTCAGGTGTCCTTCACCTTTGGACCTTGTGACCACCATCAAGAGGTGTCTCTAAGGGTCCACCTCATGGACTACATCACCAAACAGGGATTCACGATCCGGAACACACGGGTGCACCACATGAGCGAGCGTGCCAACGAGAACACAGTGGAGCATCACTGGACTTTCTGCCGGCTAGCATATAAAGTAGAAGATTGACCAATTTATGAATGTGCTACCAAATGTGGTTGCTGCGGTTTCCAATTCGATGTTTTAATCTGTAGAAATTCCATTGTCAGTTGAGACCAAGCAGAAGATAAAGGGAATGAAATTTAAAGGATCACATTCATATCATGCAATGCAGAATATTTTGCAAAAGCATTCAAATAATAGATATGATACAAACGCATTTGCAATATGTATTCAGATAATACTCAAGCATCTTTCAGTATTCTATGAACACCTTGACCACAATCATTTAAAAAAAAAAAAACAGATTCACCAGAAATTATTTCAGGTATTCATTCATTCCTTCAGATCAGAAATCTGTCAAACATTGTGCACTATGTGCAACATCAAGATGTTAGCGTGCATGTATTTCTAACATATTCTTTACCTATTAAATGTCCACATGCTGTAAATCAATTTAACTGATTTGTTCATCAGTCTCATTTAAAAAGGAAAAAAAAGCATCAATAGGAGCCAGTTGTCTTATTTTATTGTACTATATTAGCCCATTTCGAAGGTAAAATATTTTAAATCTTAAAGGCATAGTTCACTCAAAAATGGAAATTCTGACATCATGCCACCATCAAGTTGCTCCAAAAATGTTTGAGTTTCTTTCTTCTGTTGAATACAACAACACAATACATTTTAAAGAAAGTTGGTAACCCAACAGCCATTGATTTCCACTGTGTTGTTTTCATACTATGGAAGTCAGTGGCTACCGTCAACTGTTTGGTTACCAACATTCTTCCGAATATTTTGTGTTTAACAGAAGAAAGAAACTTTGAAACAGCTTGAGGATTTGAGGGTGAGTAAATGATGACAGAATTTTCATTTTTAGGAGAACTATCCTCTATTTAAGTTTTGTATTGTATAAGCATATAGCAATGATGAGTAGTCCCTGTATGTCAGGGATTTGGTAGAGTCCTGCCAGCGGACCTATTAGAACACGCTATCTATGACGTTCACGCCGCCATATTTTCCTGTTCTGTAAGCGTAGCGGTAACATGCGTTAAGACCAGTGTTGTAGGACAGTTGCTCGGATGTTGTATTCTAGCGATTAAAACTCATTTTCGTAAGTGCATATTATTGCGCTGTGCTTTAGGAAGGGTCTTGCCGTTGACTGTGTTTTGAAAGAAAAATGTTTAGAAAAAGTCCGAACCTAAAATATATATTAAGTCTTGTACCTGGAAAAAGACGTTTTGGGACGTACAGATTTTTGCCCTTGTTCTTCTGTATCGGGGGCGTCATGGAGTGGATCATGATTAACGTGAGAATAGGAAAAGAAACGTTTTGTAAGTATGCTAAGTCAAATCTTATGTATACTTATACATACACGCCCCTCTCTTTGAAGCGTTTCTGTGCATCATTCTGCGTCCTCTTTGCGCAGAGCTGTGCTGTTGTACTGCTTGTGCGCATCCAGTGTGAATAATCTTTAAAGCAAAAATATTTATAATGTGTATCATTAATCTTAATTACGTAGGGGTGTTTAATTGACATTATGCTTAGATTATGTTAAGATGAATATATTATACATTAATATATTTATGTAGGCCTAAGTTAATTTTAATTATGTATTGTTTATTGTTATTGACACGTGGTTACATTATTTTCTGGCTTCACAGATGATGTCTACAGAAGAAAACAATCGGAGCGGGAATACCAACACAAGACTGAAGAGGGCTTGATTGTGCTCACAGAGTCTGAAGCCAAATGAGATCATCAGAAAACACTGGAAATAAACGATCACCATGATAAAGAGACTGAAAACAAAACCGTCTTGAGACTTTTGCACACTAACACTTTTGATATCATTCAGAAATGGGGATATTATTATACATCAACTGTTGGGCAGCTGTAACATGGACTGCGTGATTATGAGGACAAATGAGGTGCAGAAGGCTGCTAATGTTTGTTTCTGTAAGGAAAGTGGCAATTGTTGTATTGTCTAAAAGATAAAGATGGTTATTTCTGCAATAAAAATGTTCTGTTTTGTGATTCTAAACAATACACTTTTTTCCTAATTGTGATGGAAACAGGCTTCCATAATTAAAAAATGATGGTCAGTTGTAATTAGGGCTGCACGATTAATCGCATGCGATATTTAACGCGCATCTTATCAGTAAAGCCGGTTCTGTAATCAGCGGTAAATCTCCATCAGATGCGCATTAAATATCGCATGCGATTAATCGTGCAGCCCTAGTTGTAATGCATAGGCTACTTTGTGCATTTATATACGAGTTTATGAAGATTAAGTCCAGCAAATATGTCAAAATTAATTTATTTACCAGCACTGGATGTCAGTAACAGTAAATATCTGTTGCACTGAATATCTTTTTCCCATTTCCCATTCGTCTATAAGTTTATAGACGTTCTGCCTCATGAATTTACTGCAGTCTTTTTTGCAGTTTTTAGTTGCAAAACCATTAGCAAAATATAACAAAATGATTACATTGTAAAAAAGTTATTGTCTGTATATGCATCTTAATGTCTAAATGCTTGATGCCCTCAAAAGTCCAAAATCATTTATTATGCTGTTAAATCTTTGTGAATGTGCTGTCCAACATCCAAACAGTGGTTGCCAGTTGGCCGGTGGCTTAAGGAACATTTTCTTCTTCTCAGCAGATCACTTGTAGTGTCCAATTGGTAGAGCTCTCAGACAGATGAAGCTGTTGGGATGCTGGGCCAACGTTATCGGGTTTCCATCGAGCCGAACCTCCTGCATGTTGTACCTGATGTAGTTCGTGTTATTTCCTTTGCAGAACGTGTCATCTGTCAGTGATGTTATGTTGTTGTTCTGAAAACGATTTTAAAGGATTTTACACATATAGGGACACACTAAAATACTACAGTCTATAAATATATTGAGATTACAATACAGTGAGGACCATACATGCAGATGAACTATGCACAGGCTTTCTGGCAGTGGCGGGACGGCCTCCAGCCCATTGTCTCCAAGGTACAGGTATACCAGCCTGGTGAGTTTCTACTGCAAAAGATAGAAGCCACTCATGAGTAACAACAATGTATTATTTCTGATTCTTTTATTCATTTTTACCTTGAAAATGTTTGCTTTTACTCCCTTTGTTTTAAGGACATTGTCGCTGACATTGAGAGACACAAGTTTAGCCGGCAGCATTGGCAGTTTGGCCAGCTTGTTCTCAGCTAGTGTTAGTTCCTCAAGCTGGTTGAGTTTTGAAAAGGCTCCATCTTCTATTTTAGAGATCAGATTGCCAGTCAGGTCAATTCTTATAAGTGTAGCTGTAAAACAACACAATATGGATGTATTTACAGATTTGGACATTCCCACTGGGCTGCAACTGAATAGGTTTTTTATTAACTTTCTGTCATCATTTACTCACTCTCATGTTGTTCCAAACCTGTTCGACTTTATTTCTTCTGGGGAACATAGAAAAAATGACTTTAATCCATGCACTCATAAAAATAAATGTTCCAAAAGGGTTTTTTGCAGCAATGCCTTAGAAGAACCATTCAGTAAACAGTTCTTAAAATAACCATTTTTTCTTACATTGCTCCAATATCAAGAACCTTTTGTGTATTGGAAAGATTCCATGGATGTTAAAGATTCTTCATGGAATCATAGATGCCAGTAAAGAACCTTTATTTTTAAGAGTGTACAATGAAGGTCAATGAGGTCCAAATGTCCAAAGAAAGAAAGTCACAGGGGTTCGGAATGACATGAGGTTGAGTAAATGATGACAGAATCTTCATTTTTGGGTGAACTATCCCTTTAAATGCACAAAACCTTCTAGGTTTGTCTCCCCTTCTATACCTGTGACTCTAAGGGACCTAAGCACACTTTCTCAGTTCTGTTTTAGAGCCATTAAAAGTCGCAAGGAAAATTTCACTCAGTTGCTTTGATTACATTGATCCGGTTCCAATCATTGCACATTGTGTCTTTGGTGGCCACACCTAAAAAGATTTTTCCCTCACCAATATCTGCAAAATCTTTGTTGGTAATTTTAGTGATTTTGTTGAAGCGCGCATTTCTTTTTTGGAACAGATTTATAATATCTGGCATTCTGATTATACAAATATATATATATATATATATATATATTCGTTTTAGCCATCAAAAACATTAACATGCTAAGCAAAATCCTATTTTAATATGAAAATGTATGCAAATTAGCATTATCAGCATTAAATTGCCATACCTTTGGTTTCTTGGCTTCCATGACAATTCTACTCTCTGAGATTAATTCTTCATCCTCTACTATTTTCAATATCCCTTTGTGTTTAGGCACCACTTTACTGGTTCTTGCCGGTTCACAAAATATCCACGGCACGGTCACGAAAAAGAGTAAAATCCTCAGATCCATCATCTCGTGAGGAGAAACGAGGTTGTTGTGGTGTGTGAAGAAGAGAGAGGAGCGACGCAGTGTGTCACAGCCTCAGAGTAAAATGAGACCTTTAAAGAGTTTCTCTGCAGTGGCTGCCTGTGAACCATTAAAAAACAATTCATGAAACGGGCCTTAAACCGCTCTGTGCTGTCTTGGGGTTATTTAACAGATCACTCACCTCTATTCCCACCAAAATAAACTGCTGTGATCAACGTTATGCTTGTGTTTTGTGCATATGCATGTTTTGAAATTGTGCTTTATTGTGTAAAGTGGATAAAAACAAATTTGAAATCGATATATTTTGCCGTCTTATTGTGAATAAGCATTATCTTACAATAAGATGTGTGTTCCTTCCTTTTGTGATTTAATGAGACATTTTCAGGGAACACTGTGATTCGGAAAAACAGAGGGAACGGGGAGAATGAACAGTGCTGGCCATGGAAATAAAGGATGGAATTCAAAAGGAAATTATTATTAGTTCAGGAATGTTGGACTGCATGTTTGAATACGGTGAACTTGCAAACTCCAACTCTATGTGTTGCATCCATCTCTATGTGATGTTCAGGAGCTTTATTGTTAGAAATGCAGCTGGGTTTGTTTGGGAGGTATCAGGGGATGGATTGAGAGAAGAGGGAGAAAAACTTCTGTCCCCCTATTTTTGATTAAACCAAAGTAAAAATTTCTGATTTGGGCAATAGAAATAATATCATCTGTAAACCGGAAATTTGTGAGAAAGTGCTGTGAAATACATTTCAAACATAATTCAGCTGACATGCTGTAACTTCACCTACTATTGCTTCTAAGAAGCGCTAAAGCTCTGATGGCTTAACAGAGATCTGCAGGATTTTGAGCAGCGTTAGAGTACTACTCATTATTACATCTTATTTTATCTGAGGCATTTGATAAACAGAATGAACCAGGTGTTCAAACAAATGCATGCCAAGACTTTTAAAAGGCACTTCCTCGACCTCCCTCTGGGTGCCATTACTTAACCTGATGGGATGAAGGATTAAAGTCAAAGAAAAGAGAAAGAAAGGGCATAGACAGACTAGACAGTGTAACATGCAGATAAAGAAAAAGATGGGCAAAATTATTATTGTAGGCAAAGCATCTTTGTGGCAAAGTCCGGATATTATTCTGCATGGCTTGCCTGCAGCTCTACGAACTGATGCATAATGGAGAGAGTGTGAATAACTCAACAGATGTGAGAGTCAATGAGTGGCTTGTTTCAGGCAGAATATATTAGTTGAGTAACAACAAACAGAGTCCGACAGTGACGATACCTGGAAAACAGGCCTTTTTTAAGTATTCTTTGCTCCTAAGACACTAAATAGCAACAAAACCACCACATTATATTGCATACTGTATAATTTGCTAATCACCTGATTATCATTATGCACCAGTGTTTTAGTATTATTAATACACTATTAATATTTTGAATGATATATTTGCCGTTTTCATTTTAACCTCCTGGGACCCAGGTACAGACTTTTGACCTCTGTAGTGGACATTATATTTTAGTAAATTTCTCTGAGACCCTACATGTCACAGTTATAGTCTAGATGTCCCGTAAGGAGCACATTCAGGGCTTTTCAGAGATACCAAATGTTTGGACGTTTCACCATCACCACTCCCTCTCCTTGGTCTTTAAAAATGGCTGACATTAGTTTAGTGACCAAATTTAACACTCTTATGGAAATATTATAATATTTTGTAATTATAATTTAAATCTTACAAATTTTTAAACTGTCATAAATCAACATCTCAGGACAATGTTTTGGGGTTTCAAATCAAAATATGACTTTCTGGACATCGATTTCATACATGTCCACTGTAGAGGACACCAGGAGACAAAGCATGTTTATTATGCATTTTGGGAGACACAACAAGTGAATAAGGAAAGAAATTATATTTCAATATTCCTATGAAATATTAGATATTATTATGAAAATCTTGCCAAGTATTACTCTTCACCTTGGATGTATATAAGATGCAAGATTTATCTTTCAGTTTCTTCTTTAATGTTTTAAACAACTGCAAAATTTACACCAAGTAAGGGTTTCAAAATCTCTCATAACAGAGACCCTTCCATTACGTTGAACCTTCTTGATCGGTTCGATCGTCTGGTTTTTAGTTTCTCCTTCCTGTGGGCTGATGTATCTGCTGAGGTGGCACTTTTAGGCCGTAGCGGTGAGGACTTGTAGAGAACACAAATGGATCCATCCTCACCGATTCGATAGGACACCTCATAAGGGTCCACCCACAGTGTCAGCTCTGCTGGAAGTGATGAGCTTTTCCTTTAAGCGGGTCCATTTTACAGTTGATCCGTAAACATCTGTAGCCAGAGCCTCTGCAATGAGCTTGAGGAAACCAATGGTGCTGATAGTGCTCTGAGGTAAAAAAATAAAAATTAAAAATGCATACAATAGCTTGCATACTACATTTTAAAGCATACTAAAAAATGTAAAGCCTACTAAATTTTAAAGCATGCTAAAAAATATAAATATATATAAAATATATAATAATAATAATAAAGATGATGTCAGCTTTTCTGGGAGAAAATAATAAATTCAAACGAATCAAAACATTGGGTGTCATTTTATGAGACATAGCTACTCAGTAAAGAAGAGTAGGTCAGCCCAGGCTATCATCTTATCTCACCTAGTAGAGCATTAGTGAGTGTGTGAGTGAAGATCTGCAGCTGATCTCCAGTGAGAGAGTCGCTGCTGCTCAGTAAACCGCTGATGAAAGTAGCAGCGACTGACACCTCTGTTTTCATCATGTTTCCAGCAGACGTTCTTCACGCAAAAGATATGTGCGGAAAAAAAAGACAGTGGCTGAGGAAACAAATAATGGAATTCTACAAGTGAAGGCAGTAATTTATTCTAAAGATGGTGAATAACGTAGCCTACCTGTAATTTGTTTCTCAAGGACACTGATTTCAACTGATTTTAATAACAAGCCGACGGACTGCAACAATTATTAGACCCACTGCAACTAGAATATTAGCTAAATGAACTCTTTGCAGAACAGATGCATAAAGCAGAACTTCTGAAACAATGACGTCATAGAGCAGAAGCAGCGCGTCTCTTTAGCGCCATCGCCTGACAGATCAGCAGTCACGTGCGCCGGTGGTTTTAATGTTTTCATTTTAATAGTAATCATTTTAATGTGTGACACAGATTTAAAACGACAGTTGTGTCTAGACCATAACTGTTTTGAGTTTTTATGCTCTGTGATGATTTTGAGTGAAAATCTGAAGAATCTTAAAATATGTTAAATGGAACTGGTAGCACATTTATTGGTAATTGAACGCATAATCAAGACAAAATATTTATTCAACAAATTCGCAAGGTTTGCAGGTGAGACACTATGTGAATAACATGCACTCAAATTCTGTGGTTTTCAGAGGTATTCTGGGTGTGCAGATTCTGAGTGGGCCTGGTGATAATCATGTATGATTTCAGTGTATTTGATCACTTCATGGATTTGGTAACTTCACCCTTGAGGGTGGAGTTCACTGAATATTGTGCATGTATAGCTAGTTGCCTTTCACAGTAAGATACTTAGTAAGATACTTTATATCTTTGATGGGGAACTACATATTTCATAGTGAATAAACAATATTTATTTATTTATCTTCTCGATTAATCAATAGCTTTGCTAGAATTTGACAGACCTTTAAACTCACTGATTTAAAACCATTTTGCTTTGCTAAGTAGCCGCAGACAATTATGCAACCGTTCTTAAGCAACTCTGATGTTGTCATATTCTGAGTACTAGTGCCCTAAACTAGAAAAAAATCTGAAAGATGAGTAAAGAGTAAAGAGATTATACACTACATAATTCCGTTAATTTTGCATACTGTATGTATTGTAATTCTATTGATAGTTTTCACGTGACGTCGCACCCTGGCGAGCAAAATGAAGCTTTGTTCCATTGACCGCCAGTTATTTAGTAGTAAAGTAGTAAAACGCAGATATTAAAATGCGAAATTCAGTAAACACTTTATTGATGATGTATATTTTGTACAGGCAAGCAGATGAATCCAGAATATAAACACAATATGCAAAGTTTCACATTAAATGGTTTCCCATAGAAAACCATTATAAGGAAAACGCTGAACTATTAAACGGATTGCGTTCATATTCCGGCCTCATCCGCCTGCCTATGTAAACTATGCATCATTAATATGGTGATTACTGAATTTGATCTTTTAATATTACTGTTTTAAATATATTACGGCATTTTACGTCTTTTTACAAGGTTTTGTCGCACTGTTTAATGATTGAAATATTGCCGCGGGTGCTTAATATGGATTGCAAATGGCCAAAACTTGCATTTTGTTCACATATATCTTTGTTTTATTGTTTTGAGAGGTGATCTAAATACTTGTGGCTGGGGAACAAATGGACATTGGCAGGCTTGTGCTGCAGTTCTATGGATGTTTTGCCCTCCAAGTCTTCGAGCCGGTCACGTGACTGAAAGCTATGACTTGCAGGGTGTGGAAAGGGAAAGACCCGCACTCCTTACGTTTGAAAGATACGCTCCTCCCCTTATCCACAAATAGCAAAGCAGAAGCTGTGTCCTCGAGCTTTCTGAGTATGATAACACCAGTGGAATCTCTTCACTCTCTGCGGAAGGGAAAGAAAGAGAGAGAGCAATATTGTTGAAGTGA